AGAAAGAAACACAGACAGCTTTGTAAGAAGCATCCTGTCTCGATGACAATGTAAGAAGGGGAGATTTGAAACTGGGAGATAGCAGCTCACACGCAATAAAACAAAGATGAAAAAATAAAAGTGGCAAAGCCTGGAGTAAAGCGGGCAGTGGGCACAGAGGTGTATTCTAGGATATTACTGATGGAATTACGTGCTGCCGTAGCCTTTCTGAAAGCGACTTTGTAATAAGTGGCAAGCTACAAACCGATAGCCTTTGACCTGGTAACATCAGCCTTAGCAACCTGCACCAAAGCAATAATTTAAAAGGAAAAAAGTCACCGACTTTTATGAAGTTGCAGATCCGCTCTCCAGTGCTGGGAACTGCTCCTGTGGCCCTGGGTGCCTAGATGAACTATGGTACTTTAAATTACACGGACTATTATAATGGAATCGAGAATGGCAAATCTGAGCCTTGTAGAGAGCAACATGTGAAATGACTTTTAAAGAGCTCATGATATGCAATGTAGTATCTCTGCTGGAAGAGAAGGATATTAGCAAAAAAAAAAGGGAAAATGCATATAAGGTTTGTACGCATATGTATCCATAGGTTTGTTAATAATACGGTATCAATATTATTAACTTCTTAGTTTTGACAACTGTGCCATGAGTATGAAGATGTTATTAGGGAAAAGCCAGCTGAAGGACATGCAGGAATTGCATATTTGCCACTCTTCTGCAGGTTGGGGGTTCGATTCCTGGTCAGGGCACATAACTAGACTGCGGGTTTGATCTCCGGTTGGGCTGGGAGTGGGAGGCAACTGAATGATGTTTCTCTCTCGAATCGATAAACATATATCCTCAGGTGAGGATTAAAGAAATTAGGTAGGCTCAAAAACCATTTCAGAGTTATAAAAATTACTTTGTTTTTTGGCAGGTGGAGGGAGGGGGGAGAAGAGAGTCCTTTTATGTTGCTGTGGCGGTTTCAAGTTTTCCAGTTTCGAGTTTTCACTGAGCTAAAGATGATCAAGACACGCGGACTCAGGGTGGCCAGTGAGGACCCCAAGTGTCTATTTTTAGACCCATCCCGACGGTCTAAAAATAGTTTTGATGTTTTCAGCATGTAGATCGCATTCAGGAAATAAGGAAGACATTTTCTATAATAATCTTTTTAGTAATCACTCCTCAGGGACTATATTTAGAATTTCATGGTTCATGAAATGAAATATTTTTCTTCTAAAGACAAGATTCTTTCTGCTTGCTGGGGAGTGGGGTATACCGTTTCCTAATCCATGGCAGACTGAAAAATGTAAATGTTTATCTAAAGAAAACACTTCTACGGAGCTTGAGCGTTTGGAAAACCCCGGTTCTTGGCATGTGCTCCCTCTTCAGTGCCCTGGGCAACAGTAGCTGAGTGAGGAGTGACTCGGGGTAAATGCGGGGGGGGGGGGGGGGAGGCTTTTCTCCAAAGTGGCGGCATTAAAATCAGTTCTAAACTCAATGACTTCTTCAACATTTGTTAAATAATAAAATAAAATTGCACTTAGCACTGCTGGATTTTGAAATAGTTGTAATTCTGAAAGAGCATCTTGGCTTTCCTCACAAGGCTTTGCTTGGCCCAACTCCCTAATGGGTGGCATGACCAGCAACCTGAGGGGAAATGCAGCGAGACACCTGGGCATCCACAGAGGGACATCAACGCCACCAAGTGCCTGGTGGTGCCACCTGAGTGGGTCTGCCAATCACCAGCAATGCCGACTATCTCCACTCCAGCCCCGGGCTTCCTACTAGTGTGGGCTCCACCTTCATCTTGAGACCGGTTGCAATTATGCCGCCGAGGAGGGTCTGAACACGGCCACGCCCACTGCACGTCTGGAGTCTGGAGTTCACCTCTGCCTCGTGGCGGACCTGCAAACTTGTCCACAGTCCTGCACTGGTTCACTGAAAACGAGTTTTGCTCGCGTGTCTGTCCTTTGGTTCCGATGACTAATGCTATGAAATTCTGACAGGTAATATCCAAATTTCCCTTTATCTACAAACGTTTGGAATTTGTTGAAGACACTGATAAAATTATTTGCTGGGGGTACCTAACTAGAGCTACAAGCAAGACTTTTCTCTAGACCAGGGATTTTTAAACCGACATGCTGCAAGATTTTTAAAACATGCGATACCTCACTCTTTAGTCAGAGGCACCGACCTCTTCTTTGTTAGACTGTCAGATAAAAAAGAATGACAACAGCCAACATAACAATAGCTGTCCAGTGTGAATGAGTCCACATTATACATATTTTTTGTCAGACGGGCAAAAAATATAATAACTTTTGGTGTGCCGCAGAATTTTAGTAATTAGTTTATATGTGCCACAGGATGAAAACAGTTGAAAATTGCCACTCTACACAGACTTGTGGGCACGGGCTCTGGGGTCGAATGGCCCAGATTCAAATCCTGACTCCACTGCTTATCAGCTGTGGAACTTTCCAGGCCTCAGTCTCCTCCTCTGTGATGTGGAGATCGCACTTGGCCAACTACAGTTTTATGAAGATGAGACTCAACAAAAATAAAGACTTTAGAATCATGCCTGGCAAAAAGTTAGCTCTCAATAAATATTCACTATCACAACGATTTTATAAGGAGGTACTAGAAAAACCATCACATTCCATAAGGAACTGGGGCACTTTGCCTACTGTGACTCATGACAAGTGGGGTTTGGAAACCCTTTTCCCTTCCCAATATGCTCAGGGTCCTCAACAGTGACAGTGACTTTCTGTAGCATGGGGACCTAGGGTGGCGGGGCAGTTAGAAGCTGGCGTACTTTGCAGAAGTCCCTTCAAGATTCTGAGTTGCCCTCGCAGAGATTCACGTCATTCACGCTTCAGTGCAAATATTTTCTGTGCCGTTTCAAGAAAGCATTTGTTCACATAAGTCTTCTCATACCATTTATGGAACGAAGTAGGATATACACGTACACAGTACCTGTACTTGTTGGTTTAGAACTAAGTACAACTTCAGTAACTTATGACAAAGTGGAACCCTCTTATCAACATGAACGAATTCACAACAGGTGTGGGAACAGGCGTGCCGGCCACAGAAAGGTGGCAGGCAGAGAATCCAGTGAGCCATGCGACTGGAGGGAAAAAGAAAGCACCTACTTCAGTGGTACCTCAACCAGGCTTCCGTTTCTGGTACCAGTTCCATGTTCATTCCCTCTCCGCCCTCCCTTATCGGTTTTACACAGATAAGACATCTCTTGCCCAGCCCTTAGGAGCGAGAAAGACACTGCGGCCGCTCACCCCTCCTCGCCAGCCTGTGCGATGGCCCTCGTGAAACACCTGGTACCAAAGCACATCATTCACACCCCACCTTCCTATTTTATTGCTTCCCTTCCCTGCCATGAAATTTGTCTTTAAAGGCCAAGGCCTGTTCAGAACACTGCTGGTTCTTCCGCAGCCTCCATGCAATCAGGCTGTACTTGGAATAGAGCCGAGCAGACTAGGAGCAGCCGAGATTTCAGCTCGAGCCCCAAGTCTTACAGAACCAATGGCAATGCGGCAGTTTCTGGCAAAGGAATCAAGTTTTGAACCCGCTAGGTGTAACTGCAGCTAAGGGAACACACTTGCTGTTTTATTCACAGACACAGATCTCTGGGATCCAGAGAAAGTATCTAGAACCAGCTTCCTGATTTTCAAATAAAAATGAAATATGCAACACAAAAATTTAGGGCCCCTGGTTCAAAAGAGCAGGAAAAAAATGCTGTAAAAGTTTTAAAACATGAAACTTCATTTTTTTCTGGTTATTTCATGTCATGTTCTGCGAGACACGGAGATCCTTATAGGGTGGGTGCAGAGCATCGCAGGTGCCCGGGGCCCTGCCCACCCCATAGGGTGCAGAGCATCGCAGGTGCCCGGGGCCCTGCCCACCCCATAGGCCATCATCTTGTGGGCTCCCTCCTCCCACTAGCTGCTGGACCGATACAGTGTGTCCTGGCCAGGGCTGGGGAAGTTGAGCCAGGAATCCCCCTCTTCCATGGACTCACCCACCCCCAACCCCCAACCCCCAACCCACAGCAGGCAGCTCTCCCTCAAGTTTATTGCAACCTCTGTGCCAGGACATGGCAGGTACCTAGACCAAGAGTAGGCAGGCTTCACCCCCACAGAGCCACCCACTAAACACCCCAGGTGCTGTCAGCCTGGGCTGGGCAGACCACTTTGACCCTTCTCGAGATGCCATGGAGCCAGGTGCCCAACACCAACCCTCCCCATGCTCACACCTGAGCTCCTACAGGTGTGGAAGGCAACAGAGGTCACTGGGTGGGTACAGGGGTAGGGAGGTGGCAGGACAATGCATAAGCTAAGGCTCTCCCTGCTGGTGCACACTCCAGTGCCCCACTGTGCTTCACTTAATAACACACAGACTTAAAGACAAAATTATTAAGAATTTCAAGGTGGCGACTACACTGCATTACACCCCAGGCCTGGGGCTCTGATCCTCAGCCCAGAGTCTTGGTCAACGGCAGGACCCCATGCCCATAGCACTGGCTCTGCTGGTACGCCACCAGAAGTCCAAAGGCAAAGGGTCACTCTCACTTTCCAATATAAAATGCGTCGTGTTTATGACAGGGTTGGCAAAGAGGTTTCACCTCACCTGCGTGTGAGGCTGCCCTGGAGGAGGCAGGTGTGAGGGATCTCGTTCCACCTGTTCAGCTCTGCAAGGCAGAACCTGGTTTACCCTGTAGGCTTCTGAAGCCCACCCAGTCAAACAATAATTTTAATTTGTTACATTGTGCAAAGAACTGATGTACAAGATACAGGCAGAGTCAGTCACGACGGTTACAGAAATCCTCCCAAAGCTAACTTGGTCTAGGGATTTACTTTAAGTGTCGGGGAGATTAGAAAAGAAAGCAGATCGAGCGATAATTACTTAATAAGTGGCTCTGGGGTGATGGCTTGTAAAACTGGGCCATTATCCAAAGTCATTACTTTGATGCAAGACTATAATCGAGTTGCTGAAAGCACGTTTTTACAAACCTTGGCTTCTGGGTCACTGTTGATACTACAAGAATCGTCATCATCAGCATGTGGGGCATTTCTAGAAAAAAAAAACAAAGAAACAAAACAAAACAAAACAGAAAACGGGACTTAGAATTCTACTGCAAACTCTGGAGGCAAAAAAAACCATACATCATGGCTGGTCCTTCCAGCATCCTACCTGAGTTTCAAAGATGCATAGCGCAGGGTTGCTCCTTCAAACTCTTTTAGACTGGGGTCCGGGTTAACCGTGGCTGCATGCAAATCCTGGAGGAAAACAGATGTCTGTTAGTGGAGAAGGGGAGAGGGCCGTGACGTGGCTTCATATATCACGAGGGACAAGAGCCCTCCCAGCCTGCAGCAGAGGGCGCACGAGCGTCATGTCAGTGGGAGAAGGCATGCGAGGGCTGCTGGATGCTGCCTCAATTCGAGGCGCAGCTCACAAGACAGCAGGCAACCTGGGGCACTCAGCTCGAAGTCATTCACAATGGCAGACGCCAACAAAAAAGGCCACGTGTGTAAGCTGGACATGCCTAGCAAGAAGCCCCATCACTCCATCCCTGCAGAACGCATAATGTTTGCAAAGGAAAAGGTGCAGCCCCAGCCATGCAAAAAGAACAAAATATTACATGATCTTAAAGCTGACAATATACTTGCCTTCCAAATGTCACTATTAATCTTTCCCCCATTCAGAACAGCAAAATCACTCCATGGCTGTTTCTAGACATAAAGTTATTCACACAGGAAGAAAGCACATTGATTTAAAGGGGTGGGGGGTAACAAAGAAAGAGAAAAGGAAAGGAAAGGAAAAAAAAACACGAGACAGCATTGTTAGCATTGATATTCACAGGATGGGTTAGGGAACAAATTCACTCTAAGAGCAATTCCTCAGCTCCCTCTCTCTATCTAGATCCGTATTATCACCTGCAGACCAGGCAGGAGGAGAGAGTTGGCACTTATGCACCAAAACAAAGGACTAAATGTTATTAGCAGACAGAGAAATTATTTTCTAAATGTGGTTCCGAACTGCTTCCGAATATTAAATGGCTGGCACACCCGACTTCATAGGAACCCTTTTCTCTCCCACTGACCAAACGGAACTTGAGGCAGGGGTGGGATGTGCTGGTTTGGAACCAGGAATGCCCATGGCTAAGCAGATGAAGAGCTGAGTGGTCAAGTCATTTTTATAAAAAAACAAAAACGGACAATGAAGAGGAAAGAGAGTGAATGAGGAACACGGGCTGACATCATCATGCTGAGACTTAACCAAACCTAAACGAGCCCTGATCAAGCTAATGCAAGTTCCTCTAACTCATAAAAAGCTCGAGTCCTCTGACACACAGCCTTGTCACAAGTTAATATCTGATCACTAAATATAATCATAGAACACAGCATGAAGCCTTGCCTTGTGGGTAGAACTCTTGCATCTTTGAATCTAAACAACAACTTCGATTCATCACGTTCAAGAAGGAAATATTTTAAATTTTCCACTAGCTTGAGTGAACAGTCAAGTATTTTTCATCTAAGATTTGGGGATGTAATGCCAGGACATCCTTATGAATTTGTCACAAGGACACGGTGGGCAAAGCTCTTTTCTCGGATGATAAATCATCAACAAAGGAAACTTTTCAACTAAAGTTCTTTGAAAATGGGAGGGAAACGTGACCCACAACTTTTGCTCACAATGTTAATAAAATTTCTGTTTTTTAAATTTTATTTCTTATTGTATTTTCCATCACCATTTCTCTGCCTCTTACTCCCTCCTTCCCCGCATTCACCCCAGTGTCCTTTGTGTCCATGAGTCCTTTTTCCTCACTCCCCGCACCCCTACCCCCACCCACCGCTGTCAGCCTGCTCTCCATCTATGAGTCTGTCACTATTTTGCTTGTTAGTTCAAAATGTTCATTAGATTCCACATATGAGTGAAATCATATGGCATTTGTCTTTCTCTGACTGGCTTATTTCACTTAGCATAATGTTCTCCAGGTCTATCCATGCTGCCGCAAAGGGTGAAATATTCTTCTATTTTATGGCTGAGTAGTATGCTGTTGTGTCAATGTCCCGTAGTTTATTCACTCATCTACTGAACACTTGGGCTGCTTCCATATCTTAGTCATTGCAAATAATGCTGCAATGAACACAGGGGTGCTTATGTCCTTTCGAATTAGTGTTTTGGGTTCAGAAGTGGGATCATGTGCTGGGTCAAAAGGCAGATCCATTTTTAATTTTTTGAGGTATTTCCATACTGCTTTCCACAGTGGCTGCACCAGGCTGCATTCTCATCAACAGTGCAAAAGAGTTCCCCTTTCTTCACATCTTCACCAGCATTTGTTGATTGCTGATTTATTGCTGATGGCCATTCTGACCAGTGGGAGGTGGTATCTCCTTATGGTTTTAGTTTGCATTTCTCTGATGATTAGTGACATTGAACATCTTTTCATGCCTATTGGCCCTCTTTGGAGAAGTGTCTATTCAGGTTCTTTGCCTATTTTTATATTGGGTTGCTTTTTTGGTGTTGAGTTTTGTAAGTTCTTTATAAATTTTGGATATTAACCCCTTATCAGATGTATCAGCAAATATGTTCTCCCATTCTTTGGGTTGTCTTCTTGTATTGATGGTTTCCTTTACTGTGCAGAAATAGTTTAGTTTGATGTAGTCAATTTTGTATATATTTTCTTTCATTTCTCTTGCTTGGGAAGATATATCAGATAAAATATTGCTACAAGCAATGTTGTAGATTTTACCGCCTATGTTTTCTTCTAGGATTTTAATGGTTTTGGGTCTAACATTTAATTCTTTGATCCATTTTGAATTTATTCTTGTTTGTGATGTAAGAAAGTGATATTGTTTCATTTTTCTGCATGGATCATTCCAATGTCCCTCACCTTGGGCTTTGTTTGTTGTTCTTTTTCAAGTTCCTTTAGGTGGGAAGTTAGATTGTTTATCGGAGCTTTTTTTTGATAGGCCTGTAATGCTATGAATTTCCCTCTTAGGATTGCTTTCCTGTGCCCTGCAGATTTTTAATTCTTGCGTTCTCATTTCCTTTTGTTTCAAGGTATTGTTTGATTTCTTCATTGATCTCATTATTGATCCACTCATTATTTAATAACATGTTATTTATCTTCTATATCTTTGTGTGTTTTTGGAGTTCTTGTGATTGATTTCTAGTTTCATCAAACTGTGGTCAGAGAAGATGCTTGATATGATTTCAATCTTCTTAAATTTATCGAGACTTGTTTTGTGTCCTAACATGTGGTCTATCCAGAAAATGTTCTGTAGGCACTTGAAAGTGTGTATATTCTGCTGCTTTGGGGTGAAATGCTCTGAAGATATCGATTAAACACATACAATCTAGTGTGTCATTTAAGACCGCTGTCTCCTGGTTAATTTTCTGCCTAGAAGATCTATCTATGGAAGTCAAAGGGGTGTTAAAATCCCCAACTATGACTATATTTCTGCCGATCTCTCCCTTTATGTCCATGAAGGTTTGTTTCACATACTTAGGTGCTCCTGTGTTGGGTGCATAAATGTTTACGAGGGTTATATCCTCTTGCTGGATCATTCCCTTTATCATTAAGTAGTGTCCTTCTTTGTCTCTTACTATAGCCTTGGTTTTAAAGTTTGTTTTGTTGGATATACATATGGCTACCTCAGCTTTTTCTTTCCTTCCCATTTGCATGAAATATCTTTTTCCATCCCATTACTTTTAGTCTGTGTGTATCTTTCCATCTGAGGCGGGTCTCTTGGAGGCAGCATGTATCCATATACTTGTTTTCTTATCCATTCAGCTACCCTGTGTCTTTTGGTTGGAGCCTTTAAGCCATTTACCTTTAAGGTGATTATTGATAGCCCTTTAATATTTGCTGCCGTACTGGTTTGCTGGTAACAAACTCCTTTAGCTTTTCCTTGTCTGAGAAGCTCAATATTTCTCCTTCGATTTTAAAGAATAACCTCGCTGGGTATCATTTAAAATTATATAACTTTTAATCATTGTAAAATCATTAAAATTATATAATCTTTAAAAATTATATAGATCTTTAAAATTATATAATTTTTAAAACCACTCAGAGTAGAAGCAGCCAAGTTCATTTATCCCATCTTTATGCATTAACCTAACTCTACAGGACTCTAAGAGAGTGAACGCATTGCAAAATTTCTACCCATGATCTGTTTCGCACAGTTGGTGTCCTTGCTTTCTTTTTTGGACTAGGCACCTGATCTGCGGTTTTTCAAAATAAATTAGAACTTGGACCACTGTATTTACTTTTTAAAGAGAATCTCTTGTATTAACTAAAAGAATAGGGGGCTGGCCAGCCTGTCCGCTCTCTTCTGCTCCATCGCTAAAAGCAGTGTTCAGTTTTCACTGGGAGAAAATTAATAACATAGGAGAGTCGTCCGGGTCAGCCGGGAACCCCTGTGAGCCCCCGGAACGGGTGTGGGCTTGTTCATGTGTGTTTTCCTGGGGAGATGTTCCCCACGTTCTCTCATGATTTCAGAGGGGTCAATGACCAAAACAAGTTTAACAGCACCACTGTAGGGAGATCAAGTAGAAAATAAAATTTTAAGCTAAAATTTCTTTTTCAAAAAGAAAATAATCCTATTTAGCCCAAAGTCATCATCACGGTTTACATGTGAGCAATACTGGGTTTTCATTTAAGTCAAATTGGACAAGGGATATCAGATGATGAATTAGGAAGGCTAAGATAATTGTGTTTCTGTGGAGACTTTTTTTCAAAGGGTGGACGTCTGACAAAAAGGATCTGATATTGCTAACGATACTCAAGAGACACTGTTGGAACTGGCAAGGGTGAAAAAAGAGTATTTTTAAAAACAAGTATGCAGAAAAACTTTCAGCATTTAATAAAAAGTTCTCTGTCAGTGTGTGTGGCTTAAAAATGTTTAATGTATTTACTCTGGACGAGAGGGTCCCTGCAGAGTAAAAGTCGATCACATTTCTAACCGACGTGAATCTGGCCCTGAGCCTCTGCAGACGCGAGTCAGCTGGCCCAGCGCCGGCAATCACCCTGGACAGACTCAAACAAAGGTCGTACACAGTGATTTTGCAAAAACTTAAAATAACATGGGTACTCCTAAAAAAACCCTTTCACACAAAAATCAAGTAAGGAAAAATGGAAACTAACATTTTATGTTATGATTAGGTCAAAGGGTTTTTTCCCTTCTATATTTAAAAATACTCGTTTAAAAAAGTTCTCTCTCCCATGAGGAACCATAATTGTCTTTTTTATAATTAAGGACAATGGAAGACAAAAGCAATTTGTTTTAAGTTTAAGAACTACATATTCTATTCATCTAATTCTTTTTAATTAGAAGGAGAAAATACAGTATTATAGTTAATACATTTTTTTGAGCCACAACCCAACAGAGATTCTTTGGTTCTCCAGAAAGTCTGTAGCCACCCCAGTCTGTCGTCTGGAAGTCAGGAGTGCGATGTGGCAGGACAGACAAAAAGACAAGGAGAGAGGATAAGGCAGGCGGGACCGAGACACAGACACAGAGGCAGGGAAAAGGGGGGGCAGAGGAAGAGCAGAGACCATCTTCCACAGGTAAGGTCCTCCCAGTGGGCGATCCTTCAGGAAGCACAGCAGAGTGACATCTGGTGCCAGAGTTAGAGCCGGGGACATGTTCCCCTGGTGCTGGCCTTGACCTTGCCCAGGCTGCAGTGATGATTACAGAGATTATGCTCAGTCCTGGGAGGGCCCTGGAGCCTTAGCCCCCCAGAGCCAGTGTGCCTTGGGGAAGGGGGGGGCTGACCCAGCTCCGGGGGCACGGCACCCTTCTCAACCACATGGCAGAGGCCATCCTAGGACAGACCCACTAAGGGGACTCAATTCTATAACCTGGACTATTGAGAGCTTTCATCTTCCAGATTGCTCTTCTGAGACCTTGAAAGGCAATTCCACAACCCAAACAAAATCCCCCTTGCTTCTCCAAACTCTCTTCTTAAGGAACCAAGAACACCTTCAGTTGGAAAAGTTACAGGAAGACTTGCGTACGGGGTAATAGTTATTCAAAAAATATTTTGTGTGGCTCCCTCTTCTAAAATTTGACATCTAAGTAATTTGGAACAAATCAGTGGATTGGGGGGAGATGCTCACAGGCCAAATCTCAGCAGCAAATGCTTCCTGGCCAGTTTATAAACTTTCAAAAATACTGCCGGCATGTGCAGAGGAAACATTATCCGCTGTGCTTAACACTTCCCCAGTAAACTCCGGAATGTGATATGTAAAATTGTCAAACTGTAAGGAAGCCTTCAGTCCTAAACTTTTGTAAGCTGAGTCAACAGATTTGGCACTTATTTGATTTTTTTTTAAAAGACAGCTCCAAGAAAAGCTGAATAAAATATGCATTTCTAGCATGACATATTACAAGTTTCTTCTCTCCCTTAACATTTTGCTTTCTCTCATGTTTCCAAATTAGTTGAAATAGACTCTATTTTGGAATCAAAGCAATGGTATCATTTCCCTTTAACTGTTATTAGTACTTGAGGCAATGTTACCAGCACAGGTCATTTTCTAGAAGGCTCAGTGCATGACACAGCCCTCCCTGTGGGCGAGGTGAAGAGACCCCAGTCTCTCCAAGTCTCCTGATGCACACTGTGGAGCGAAGCTGGCGGTAGGGGTGGGGGCCAACAGACCTTCATTCAAGCTTGCCTCCACCAGGAATTAGGCACGTGGTCTTGGACAAGCTCCTTCACTTCTCTGAGTCTCAGCGTAGTCAAATGTGAAACTTGAATGACAGCTACAGTACCAGGGGCATAGGGTTGTATGAGGGGTAGGGTGATAAGGTGGGAGCCGGGCCCTGTGCTGCCGATTAAATAGCCACTGCGGCATCTGCATACCTGGGTATGGGCAGGCTGGGTCTTTTCCCCAGCCCTTCCCCCTTCCTCTTCTCTCTACCTGCTTACCCCCTTGCCCCTGAGACTTCAAAAACTACACATCCATTAACAAAGGTCCCTGGAAGGACAAGACCTTGTCAAAAACAATGTCATGGTTAGCAATAGAAGAGAGGAACCGAACCAACAGCCTGGTGGAAATTCACAGTCCTGGGCAGAGCCCAGGATCTGGAGTGAGAGCTGGATGCACACCCACCCCAACTCCAGCTGCGTGCCTATGCAAAGAACTGAACCTCAGCTACTTCTTTTCTTTAGTACGGCACCTAACAGCGGTCTTGTCTGCCACATGGAGGGTGTTGAAGGGACAAATGAGGTGATGTTTATGAAAATACCGGGAAAGCCACAACGAGTCATAAATAGCAGCTGGGGGCTGTGCACTCTAGGAAGGACAGCGGGGAGAGGGCCATGGGGAGGGACCCTGACCCGTGGACAAGAAGGAGGAAGCAGGCACGGAGAGGTGAGAAGAGGCCGAAGGGGGCATCAGAAAGAAGCTCGGGGATCAGAGGTGGACTCTGCTACCCGACACTTCTCCCCGGGCCAGCTGCCCACTGGTGCTGCATTGTTTCCAAAACATGGAAGTGAAATTCTACCATATTAATCAAAGAAATGAAAATCTGAGCCAAAGAAACCTTGGGATGCCCTCCTGGACTCCACCACACCGAACCCTGATCCCGGGAGGCAAGCTTTAAAAAGGACTTCATTTCTTCCAAGGAGCATAGGAGAATCATTGAGCAGAAAGAGGATCTCAAAGTCACTCTCATCTCCTCACCTCTGGGACAACACGAAAGAGGAGTAGGCTAAACCCCAGAGCCAAGGAAGAGGAGTGAGAAGAACTCTGGCCCAGAATTCAGGAGAATTCAGGAACTCTGGGCCCTACACCCGGTGTAGCTGCCAATCTCCATGCCTCAGTTTCCCTGTCTCCAATCGATGGATACTGGTGTCGGGTGATCCCTTCCCACCCTGGCACTTCTCACTGGTGAAGATGGTTGAAGAGTCACAATGAAGCCAGGAGCAAAGATGTACAGGTAAGAAACAGAGAGGACACCTGTGCCTCAGTGAGGGCAGACACTGCATCCTGACCAGCTCGGATCCTGGGAGGCCACTCTGTGGCCCGGGGAGACACGCGGAGTGGCAACTAGGCTGGGATGGGCAGAGGACTCTAGTTGGAGCCAAGCTCTTCGAGCACCAGAGCTGTGTTGGTTGTGCACCTAGCACAAGACGAACGAATGATTGAGTGGAATTTGTTCAGGGAGAAGGCATACGATGCTTCAATAAAATGATATCAAAATCGCCCGGTGATAAACAAAAAAATCCTGTGTGAAATAGCGGAACTGAAGCAGGTGCCTGATTATGGGGGAAAAGTACGAAAAAACCACAGCCCTTGCCTACCAGTGAGGATATGGCTCACCCCAGCCCCGCACTTTAGAGATGGAGACTCTTAGGCCCAGGCTGGGTAAGCCATGCTGAAGCCCAGGAAAAGGCAGGATGTGGTTGGAATGCAGGCTTTCCTCCTCCCAGGGGAGAGCAAGTAAACAATCAAAGATGAAGGAAACAAGCTATCTTTCTCTTGTTTCCTACAGGAAGGGTGATGGTGGTTGCGAATATTCTACACGGGGGATCTCTGCAGGTAAGGGATGCGGTTCAAACGTCCTCCACGCCCCCAAAGCAAAAAAAAAAAAAAATGCGTTGTTTAAAGAACAAAAGACTGTTGTCAGAAAAAAGCAGAAATGTCTTGGTTTCAGCCATCAAATCACTTTTCTCAAAAAAAAAAAAAAAAGCCCTTATTTAATTGTGACCTTTTCCAAATGTAATTCTCTTGGCTATTTTGTTATCAGGATTCACAAAGCTTCACCGTAGGACTCATTATACTAATAAATACCAGGACAGAATTTTTTAGTGCCTCAATTCTTTGTTTAAACATTCAAATCTCTTCCTCGGGGGTAACAGAAATTTATGCTGCTCATTATTTCTAAAATCATGTCACTTATACTAAATAAACAGATTCTTTTTTAAAAATAGAAATTAAGCGTTTAAGGGCTCTCAAGGGTTATTCTTACAGACAGCCTCTCTGTGCAATTGGATGAACCCAAGGATAATAAGATATGCAGTAATTATAAGACGTCTGGCCAAGAGCTGTTCTTCTGTGTGTAAATATTTCATGGAGTCAGCACCATGCAATGGCACCTACAGAGTGAAATATTGTCTCTGGGAGCCCCGGGGAATCTTAACCACTTCTCATTAATCAGTCCCTCTTACTTTTTGTACCTGAAATAGTGTTTCAAGAGATCAAAAACCATTCAAAAATAAACACTGCCCTGAAAGATACTATTAACCCTATTTACTGAGAGGGAGCCTTGCTGAGGTTTCAAATGCAACATGCATGATCATCAAAAAGCTTACCTTGATGACCTGTGGGGGCAGAAGCAATGAGTCTAAAGAAATACTACAAGTTGCACCTCCTGTACTAAGTTGTTAAAAAGACATTCCGTTTTACCTCGTTCTCGGGGGTGGGAGACGGTGTTACAGAGCTAAGGGACCCTTTCCTAGAGCCCTGGAGATCTGCGGGGACGGAGACAGGGCGTTCCCACTGCGTTGCTCCTGTGGGGATGTGCCAGTAATAGGTCCCAGCCACGTCGTTGATTCTTTTCCAGCCAGGAGGCAAATCTGGGTCGGTCTGAAATGAGTGATCACTCCATATATCTGCTGGGAAATGGGGGAGAAAAGAGTTTTGTTAAGAGAGGAAACGAGTTATCGTCGTCCAAGTTTAGTGCCAACAGTCTGGAGACTCCATAGACAGATGTGTCCTTCATGCAGCTGGGAAGAACCACAGCCCCGCAGTGGACGCGGGGCGCGGCAACAAGGGGTGAGACGTGGAGTAAGATGAGGAAACAACCGCAGGGAAGGGTGGCGTCCGGGGCTGTGGGCATAACAGACCCACTGTCAAGTCATCCGGCAGCTCCAAGACCCTCCCACCAAACCAAAGCTCTATGGCTGCTCTTGACTCTCGGTGACCCCGTGGCTGAGCGATGCCCACAGTGTCCCGTCCTCAGCAGCCCTGCCCGGCTCCTGCAGACTCCTGCCTGTGGCTCCCTTCACAGTGTCGGTCCACCTCCTGTTTTGTTTTCATCTTTTCCTCCTGCCTTCTCAGGATGTGCCCAAAGTGGGACAGCCACAGTTTCGTCGTTTCTGCCTCCAGTGATGTTTCAGGCTTCGTTTGTTTTGTTAGCCAGAATTAACAACCCATGTAAACTTCACAAGGTCACACACAAAATCTACCTCATTCATCTGTAAACTAGTAAGATTTACTGCCTGGTATCTTATAACGCTCCCAGCAATGAGTACAACTCTTACTTTCTTTAATTACTTTCTATAAATGAATGCTGTATTTATATCTTTTAATAACTCCTCCTTTGCAAAGTAGCAATGCCTTCTGTAAAACTCTAGAACCCTAAATCGCACACAGAAGATTCCCAAGGAAGACAGCCAGGAAAAGCCTTGGTATTCAGGGCAGGGACAAGACTGACTCTAAACCCAGGCCTGTAATATAAATACACAAAGCAGGGTGGCCGTGAAATACGACAGAGAATGGGAGGGACTGTGGCAAACTGGCCGGCATGTGCAAAGTCCAAGGGCATTCAAATTCAAAAAATAATTTTAAATCCTGTGAGGGCTGGTGAATGAAATAAATTGGCTATTCCCTGGCCTGTGTGAATATTTTATATGTTTACTAGGTAGCTGTTTGCTTTGACAAATCTCATTTATTGGCCTTTTTGGAGCAGAATATGAAATGGATTAAAGGGCTAGAGAAGACAGGAGAGAGAAGAGGAATAGAATAAGAAATTCGTGGACAGGGGAGCATCACGGAGGAGCCACAGGCAGCCGAACGGCAGCAGGCAGGTAGAAAAACTTAAGGAACTTGGGCTCTAAACCGGGGTCACTTCATTCTAAGGATTAGGCCCTTTTCTATGTGGCTATTCAGAAAGGCCGGAGCACTGCATTGCAATCCAGTGAGAAATCGTGTGGGGCTTGTCTGCGCAAATGTCACTGCCTCACGTGGGCAGGTGTCACTGAGGCTGTTACAGAAGAAAAAGAAACCAGTCAAAGCGGCTGATTAAGACCAGGGGTGGGCACAGAGGTGCCTTCACGAGGCTGTTTGGATCCCGGCTTTCGCTTTCTCATTTAAATCTGCCAGAGGCAAAACTGCCCCTTGTCTCGAATTATGATGGAAACTTCCCCTCCCCAGACAGGAAATTAAGCATGATTAAATAATTTCAAGTTACTCAAACTCGAAATGAACATGTGTATACACTCCTTTGTCCTGTGTTAGTTTTAGGGGATTGTTTCTGCAGTAATTTTGTTTTTGGTGTCTCAACTGAGAAAGGGCAGGCGAAACATGGGTTTGGGGACTGCTGAGGAAGGCCCAGTCAGGAGTGTCCCCTCGTCCCCGCTACTGGCTCCAAGGCAAGCTCTGGGCTAGAAACCGAAAGGACATAAAAAGGCTGCTAGTTACCATTTCTGTGGTTTTCGAGGTCTGAGAGCCTGAATTTACACATCTATTCAGCTTTCTCAACAACTGAGGCATTAGCATATACAAAGAATAGCTACATACATAGCACTATCAGAATATGAAATCAAGTCAGACCAAGGACAGAGGCCAAGGTCAGTGTTCTGAAGGCTGGCTGTCTGAGGAGGTACCTCAGGGGCAAAAGGAGAGGGGCTCTGGGTTGCAAGGCAGGGACTGGGCTGTTCTGTCTTCAGCGAGACCCACCCGCTCATATTTGTTTTCTATTCCGAGTTTCTGCTGAGTGGGGAGTGATTTGTTGGTAGGAGCTGAGGATGATGGTGAGGGGATAATGATGGAGGAAACCAGGTGGGCACATCCACAGCATCACTCCCAGTCCCAGGACCATTTACAGAACCCCTTCCACACCATCCTGCACTGGTCGTAAGGGCTGTGAGCCCCCGAGGGCAGGCAGAAGGTCTGCCTGGTCCACCACCCTACTCCCCAGACCTAGCACAGCAGGGTACCACAACAATGAGTCGGATGGATGGTGCATGGGAGAATGGACAGATGGAAAGAAGAAAGGATAAAGATGGAGGGAGAGATGAATGGAGGAATGAAGGCCTTAAATGATGGGATTTGGAAATTGGCACCTAGCAAAAGGGATTCTGAAGAAATCTGTTCTATGCAGTTTCACTCAATAGGGCAACATCCCAACCCCCAGGAGTACTGGCTTCTGGGTAGAAGCAATGTCTGCTTCCCTCAATGGTGCATGTGCACTTTCTCAGGGATGAAAAGAAATACAGCCCTGGCTGGTGTAGCTCAGTGGATTGAGCATGGGCCTGTGAAGCAGGGGGTCGCTGGTTTGATTCCCAGTCAGGGCACTGCCTGGGTTGCAGGCCAGGTCCCCAGTAGGGGACACATGAGAGGCAACCACACAATGATGTTTCTCTCCTACTCTTTTTCCTTCCCTCTCCTCTCTCTAAAAATAAATAAATAAATATTTTTCAAAAAAGAAATACAATGGGAGAAAGTAGAAAGAGTTCTGGGCTGGAAGCCAAGACACTTGGAGTTGAGATTTAGTTTCTTTTTTTATAGATATATTTGACAAGAAAAAGTATGAAATATGTCTTCTGAGGCACCTCAGCCCTATTATACTCCATTCTGTTTAGTGTTCACAGCCCCAATTTGTTTTGTTTTTCTACATAAAATGATGTACAAGGGGGGGACCCCCAAAACTGGAATTATCTTCTGGAGGGCAGGCCCCTTGTAGTACAGGCTTCCCCTGTTAGGTTAGCATTCTAGAAGCCCATCTGTATCAGTGTACCAGCTGGCAGTGTTGTGAGAGGCTGCGTTCAGCTTCAGTTAATTTTTTTTGAAGACTCAACATGTTTGCCTATTTCATAATGGATGATTTACAAGTGCACCTGCCCACACCTGAGTGTTTAGCAGTTTTTGACCAAAAACAGCATGACCCCTGGGCCTTACCCTCCCTCTCCACCCAATCACATCTCGAGTGAATTTTTGTTTCCCTAGATGAAAAAAGTCCTTAAAGGGAAACATCTTTCCGATGTGGAAGAGGTGAAAGAAAAAAACAGCAGAAGCACTGAAAGGCATCAGAATCGACGAGTTCAAAAACTGTTTTGAACAGTGGAAAAAACATCTCGATAGGCGTATTGCATCAAGTGGAAAGTACTTTGAAGGTGGCTGACGTTTAACCATGTAAGAATAAACACAACTTTTATAATTTTAAATAAATTCCATTTTGGGGGTCCCCCCTTGTATATATTAAGTACCTTGGACCTCACTCAGTGGTTTTCAATTGCTCTCAAACTGGGGACGGAGACAGTGGTGCAGGGGGTGGAATTCTGGGTCTTCCAGAGCCGGTTCACCACAACAGTACCGCTGTTATCTGTTTTACATATTGGTGTTGTACGTACAATTTCCCTCGCAACGGGGATCAGTCGTTTAAATTTTTTTTGCTTAAAAATAAAGCTCGAAACCATATCGAAAGCAAGAGACCAGCAGGGCCAAGATATCTAAACACCACAAAGCTACTGTGTCATAAGACTGTGCAAAATACTGCAAAGCCGCTGAAAAGGCTACCCTTAGCTGGGTGCCCCCGAGGACATGAAGGAGGACACGCAGATGAACCAAAAGAGGAAAATCTGTAAACACCTGGTTCTTAGGGAATGTTCCAACCCCTTTCAATTCTTGGAAAATTACTTAGGCAGCTTTGCTGAAGAAAAAGCAAGGAGCCGGCCTCGCGGAAAGGCTGTGGTGGAGAGTGTCACTGTCCTTCTGAACCTCAGCAGTTATCAAACTGCATTTCTGCCCTGCACCCCTCCTAGTTCTGAGGTCACAACACAGAATTCTCAGCTCTCAGTGGGAATATCCTGAAGGCCCTCCAGACTCATTTTGGGTGAGTCATTGTGCAACAGTAACCGCAGGAATTTCAGTTCGGTATTGACAGCATACGACAGAGCAGGACTCTGCCACAGAGCTGCCCGCTGCAGGCCTGCAACTCGGACCAACCATGCGTACTAGTCAGGGAGAGATCAACAGGAGAGTTAAGGTGGAGAAACACACAGAAAGCCTGCAGAGTACCGTCCAGTATGCCAGTGAAATGAGAGGTGGAGGGAGCCCACAAAGGCTCTAGACATGGCGTCATGCAGCCTGGCATGGACACCACGAGTGAGAGCTCTGGGGGCCCTTCCTGTCTGGCTGGGTCAGTCACTATCTGAATGACCTTGGACAAGTTACCCAACTTCTTTGGGCGTCAGATGCTTATCTGTAACATGGCGAAGAAAACAGTACCTACCTCCATTCAGAATAAAGGTTGGCATAGCAGAGGCACATTCACAAAATAAACGGCCACTGTTACTGCTGGCATTATCGGATTCCATGTCTCCAAGCTGACCACGTAATAATATATTAAGTCCCCTAAAGTCATCGTAAAGAAAATATTTTCCCGAGTCCAAAGGAAAATGCTCAGTACAGAATTTATGGGATTAAATGACCCTGACGGTTCAAAGGGAAGGGTGAAAGGTCATGATAACCTTATGGTGACTCCAGAAGAAGGTCAGTCGGGTTCCCTCTGCAGGGCGGGGCTTTGAGGACCTGAGAAGGTCAGGCCGGACCAGGTTTTACCCAGCATGCCTTGCTGGGCTTTCTCCCAGCACACACAGGGCCCCTGACCGCC